GTTATAGATTAATTTCGGATTTCCGACACTTTCGGAATATCATATTTCATGATTGATACCGTAAATAAAGTGAGTCATTCTTGTGACGTTGCATGTCGAGTATGGTGCGTGCAGTGGAATCATGCTGGCACAACGCTTGCAAGTTGTGGTGAGGATAAAACGATCAAATTTTGGAAACGTATTGATGGTAATTTTCGGTTTCTTCTTACTTTCAAATTTTTTGTTTCAGTTAAGAATTATTTTCAAGAATGTATTTTCATATTGCACTGAGCGATTTACTAACAATTAAGTGCTAAAAATTTTCAAACTGAAGGGAACAAAAATGAGATTTTACGAAAATTTTGATATCATAGTTTAGTTTTAGAACTGAATTTTATTAGTTAGTTTTAGAACTGAATTTTATTTCATATGTTAAACGTTTATAAAGCTTTACTTTGATTTCGTTTATAAAACATCACTTCGATTTCAACCTATATAATGATTAGAAATTGTCTTGATTATTATGCATGAAAGGTGGAGCAACATTTTAAAAAAAGGACGATGTGTAAAAAAATAAACATGTTTTCAAATTGTATTTTTACGTCAAGAATAATGAGCTTTCGGAATTTTAACGTTTTTTACATCGTTCATTTGTCCATGACTTTAAGACATATTGCTTTACTTTTCGTGAAAATATTGGTTTAAATGAAATTTATGTGTACTTGGATATGAAACTGATAGCAAGCAATCATAACATTGATTTGATTAATGTTTTTAGTGCGAATCTCCAGAAGTTTAGATAGCAATTATAACATTGATTTGATTAATGTTTTTAGTGCGAATCTCCAGAACTTTCAGTGAAAGTAAATTCAAAAAGATTCAGATGAGCCGTATTTGGTGTATTCTGGAAAAATAAGCGGGTCTCATAGCAGATCTATTCGACACATCGCATTTTCACCAAATGATAAATTCTTAGCTTCAGCTGGTTTTGACGCCGCTATCATTGTGCATCAGTTGTGCAAGTGAGTGTCGCTTTTAGATTGGAACTTAAATTTCAAAATTTGTGCAAATTTTTCGAAATTGATTTTTTTTGAAAGAAAAAATTGGCGGTATTGTTTTAGAAAAAAAATAACAAGTTGATATGTAGTTGCTTTTGTTGGGACTAGCGTCCAAAAGCTGAATTTGGTCCCAATGTTGCTCTGGAATCTAGCAGAGATGTTCATATGGTGGAGTACATCTTTTTTACTGTCTGATGGCAATTAACTTTTATCACCAGCTAACATTTAAAAAATTGAATCAAGTCCTGGCATTTTTGCAAAAATGATTCTGGAAGCCATAAAGCTGCAATATTTCAACATTTGTTTAGTCAATGTCAACTTTTTTTTCAGCAATGATTATGAAGAAGTAAATCGTTTAGAAGGACATGAGAATGAAGTGAAATGTTGTGCGTTTTCACCATCCGGTGAATATTTGGCAACTTGCAGTCGCGATAAATCGGTTTGGTTCTGGCAGAGTAAGTAAATGATGTATTTAGATCCAAAAATGGAAGTGTTGTTTTCAGATTTTTGAGTCTTTATTTATTTGAATAAATTAATTCCAGTAGACGAAAGCGAAGATTTTGAGGTTGCATCGATTTTACAATCTCACACACAAGACGTCAAATTTGTGGTATGGCATCCAGTTGATGAGGTATTTATCAAAACATCTTAAATCTTTTTACTATTCGAGAAACTGTACTGTATTTTAAGTTTTTATTCGGTTCTTTTTCCCCATAATGTCTGAAAAACTGTATGAAGTAAAAAGTCTGTTAGTCGAGTAGCGCTGTGACAATACATCCGATTTAGTTGTTGGTATCATGCAGCTATGACTGCTCCATTCGATTTTATCGTTTTGATGGTGAGGATTGGATAACGCAAGAAAAGATCGATAATGCTCATCAATCGACCGTTTGGTCAGCTGATTTCTCAGATGATGGTAATTCTCTTGTAACAGTAGGAGCTGATTTCTATATCAATGTGAGGATTGTTTTTATTTAATTGGGAATATGCCATATTCTGAATTATGACTAATTTTTTTTATTGCAAAGTCGAATTCACTACAATTTTATTAATTTATAAAGCTTTGTTTTTATTTTCATGGAAAGCTTGTGCATATAACATTTAATGTCATTGTGGCAAAGGAATAGCTCATGCGATCTTAGTGCGAGACTCCTGGACTGCAAATGGGATGTCATATGTGGGCTAGCGTACCAATGTACTGAGGAACATTAAAAAAATATGAATAAAGGGAATGGTTTAGCGATTTGAATGAAGCATTCTATAGCCCTTTCATTAGTTTTATAGTTGGCTCTTTTTATCGTTTGATGTTGATTCGCAGAGTAATTGACTCATGTTGATGTTTTTAGATTTGGATGAGGCTGGAAACGAATTTAGCGGCCTCTAGAAGTAAATGGAATAAAGTAACGAGTGTGTGCGTGGAAACGAAATGGCCGCTATACACAGTTTCGTGGAATAAATTACATGGTATTATTGCTGTTGGTGGAGCAGATAGCAAAATAAGGTTTGCTATTCCTGAAAAATTTAATTTGTGTTGCATATTGAATTTTCTTGTCTTTTTTTGATGACCTGCTATAAGGAGCATTCTTTCATATTTTTAAATGCTGTAGATTTCTCACGTTCCTCCTCCCTACCAATTATGCAACTGCATTATCAGAGCATATTTCTTACCTTCAAAAGATCAGGAATATCACTGTGTAAACTTCAACCTCATCTATCTACATGAGCACATCTCACTTAAACTTACTTGTATATTGAATTGAAACCGCACTAAATGCCGATAGTTGAGTTAATGGCTTTTGTGTAATGTCTGAGGAATGACTTTTGGGTAATGTCTGACGATTTTTTTTATTCTGCTTTCAGGTTGTACCGCTTAAATAAGTCAACAGATAGCCCAGTTCTCGAAGAATGTTTTGCAAGCTACAAACTTTCTTCAGAAATCAACTCTCTAAATTGGAATCCGCTTGAAAGTAGGCTACTTACTGGTGCGACGGATGATGGTGAAATTTATGTGCTTCGAATAAGTTTATGACACATATCGCTTATGTTTATAACATATGTCGCTTATGCTATGAGTAGTTAATCGCTCAATGCATTCTGCTTTTTATGCAATAGTTTCCCAGTGTTCTTATTTCTTAATCTGTTCATTTACAATTTTATACGTTTTGACTTTGATAAAGATTTTATAGAGAGTTCCAATTTTTTAGTATTTTTTCAGAAACGTTAAAAATCCGAACGGATAAGGTATTTGGAACTGCATTCTTACCATTTATTTCTTTTTTCAAAAAGGTTGAAATATTAGCAATGTTTGTGGAAGCACATATTGCAGATTCAATCAGATAAATGCGTAACATTTCAGAAAATTCCCAAAACTCCTTATATTTCATTTCCCTGCTACTGTTTTGCGTCTTAAGTTTATGCCTTAGAGAGAATATTTTCTCAAAATAATTTCAGCTAGCCGATGGCAATATACGAGAGGGTTGGTCATATGAATGAAGTCAAAGGATGGGAACAACCATTACCTATCAACATCATCTTGTTCTCCGAAAATGTTGGACTAATCGAGCAGTTGAAAAGCATTATACCTGTAAGTTGTTCGAAATTTCATGGCAAAATTTATATCATCGAATCGATCGATATAATCAGACGACGGTGTTAATTGGTGATCGGTTATGCCAGACGGATTTGATAATTTAAATTTCGAGGTGTATTTGCTACGTAGGAAATTTGTTTAGTATTTTGTTAAACGATTTTGTTACATGGATATTTAAAATCAATATTGCAGAAAATTGGAACATTTGGTGAAAAAAATCTGAGAGTTGGACTTGATATTATTGAACAACGAGTTGAAATACATGATTATGGAAGTCCATGGGTTGAGCTTCGTGTTGATGTAAGTCTTTTGTTTTATTTCAAAAATTCTGAAAGAAAAATATTCGTTTTTTTAATCTTCCGTTATTCTTATTTTCATTTTATCTGCATACTTTCCTTTCCCTAAACTTTTACTTTCTTTTCAAACATGCTTTTTTAAATTATTCATTTTCTATATTTGATTTTATTATATGCATTTGGCTTTCGATTTCTTTTCAAAAAACGAGTAAGAATAACATATTTTTTAAGTAATTTTGTTTGGTTTTTTTCTTTCATATTCTTTCTTTGTATTTCAATTTTCCGACCATAGTAAGGACCCAATAGATCTGAAACATGTTCCATTTTAATACAATTTTTGTTTCTTAATTACTAAATAAGCTTGATAGCGATTTTATTAAATCTTAAATATTTCCCACTTTCTTTTCTATCATTTTCGTTGTTATTACCTTAACTATTTCTTAATAGGTAATGTCCTCTTGCTGGGAGCGAACATTTTTGAAAATGGTATCGACGTTTCAAGCTCTAACTAATGAATTTTCTGGAAAGCATACACCCGTACTTCAGGCGACAGAGCATGGTTTTTTCACGGATGATTGCTTGTTTGCTTTTCAAATTAAATAAAACCTAGAAATTTCTAAAAAAAAAAATCAAACCTAGAAATTTCTTAATAAACGGGTGATAATTGAAGTTAAACTTGAGATTGATAAGTAGATTCATAGATTTTTATGGAGAGCTAACTGCTCAACATGAATTTAACTATTTCAATTCTGAATCTAACCATGATTTAAAACACAGATAATTCTATAGACCGATCCGCCGTAGATAGTTGCTTGATTATTTACTACAATGATGAAAGTGCTCATAAGTGACACTGGAAAGCCTTGCTAGGCATTGCTTTTCATCATCACTTATGGCTGGATTCTCAATACTAGTAATTACACGAAATAATTCCTCGATTCGATCCATTATTAATACGTTATCACTGTAGCTTATTATCCTCGAAAATTTCAGTATCTGCTTTATGTTGTTTATTCTTCAATTACATTGTTCTGCTTTTATACCAATATTAGGGATCCTATAAATTTAGCGTAGCGGAAACTCACTCTTTTAGCTTTGAATAACTTATTCAATATTCATATATTTCAACTTTAATATTATTCATCCCAAAAATTTGTTCTGGAAGGTGTTAATCTTATAATTATACAATTTCTCTTTGCTAGTTATGAGTTATAAAACTTTCTGCATCAAGCCTGAATTAGTAACAGATATTTAATGGCCAGATTCAGTTTTCATTTCAGTTTGCTTTTAAAAGTTTCTGTTGGGATTGCTTTCTTTTTGTTAATTACTGTCAATAAAAGGAACTGTAATGTACAGTTCAGACCTATAACAATTTATAATTTTTTCAGGTCAACTGAGCTCCAAATAGAAGTACACTCCATCCATCATGGTAATTTGCTCGATTCCGGAACATTTTGCTCACACTTCACTAGAGAAATACCGGAGCGGACTAATGAAGCAAAATTGGCAGAATACATCAAAGTGTTAGCAAACTTATCATCTAATGAAGTGCATAATCCGATGTACGTTGATTTTGAACATGACCGAAATATACTCACTGTACGATTCGCTGTTTTAGGTGGTTTGTTTCTTTTTGTATTTTCTGCTGAAGCAAATTAAGATGTTGCTGGGATAGATGTGGTTAATGAAGGTTCCTCTATTCCGTTCCTGATACTTTTTCATTTGGACACGAGACATAAGGGTTTTCTAGCAAATCATAGAACTTGGACTAAAGGAACAGTAGAGATTCTATATTATCTAGCAATTGTGCTCTTGGTCGATTAGAAAAAGTTCCGATGACAAATCGGTTTCTTTTTTCAAATTAAGAAAATCAAAGTAGGTATATTTTCTGCTCAAGTTAAAATGACTGCTTATTGCAGTGTACCATGAGAAGAACTGACTGAAGTTTTTAATTTCATTAAAATTTAGAGCATTCTAGGTGTTAAATTTCAAGATCAACGATAACCAGTTACATCATTGTTCTTTAAAGATGATGAAGCCATAGATCTGAAAATATTGAATAGTGAAGCGCAGTTTGAGACTCTAATCTTGTTTCGTATCCTATTACTTTATAGTACAGATCTATGCCATTAGTATATTCAAAAAATGATATTTCAGGCTACAGAACCCGAGAAATGGGCAAATCAAATAATGAAAAGCTTGTGGAGGGATTCATGTTTACTCTGAAGGTGGCCTCTTTATGAATTACAACTTTTTGATTCACTGTTGCCCTACTTTTCACAATCCACTGCAGTGATTTTTCGAAAACTGTTTTTCGTTTTAAATTTCAGTTAAGATTTCTCTGTTCCTTTTTTTGGGTTTTTCTTAGGCTGTAGTATTAATATGAATGGTAAATGACAAGCTGTTAATGAACTGATTTCTATGTAGTGTTTCACTCCACTGTTAATTCTTAAAAACCAAATATTTCTCAAGATTAAGTTATTAGTAATGTAATCGAACAGTTGTACTGGAAGTGCTGATTTCAGAAGTATTTATTGATTTATTTTGCTCAATTATTAATTCTGTAACAATAAATAATACAGTTATACAGTTACATATGATTAATGAAGGAAGAATTATAATTGATTTTATAGTAATTATTGTAAGGAGCTGTAAAATTTTCAGGTACACTATACTTCTTTACGTCGCATTTTAGTCGACACAAAAGTTTTAGTCGACACAAATCAAGGAACTTGCGTAACACGAATATATTTCCATCTAAACTACCCTCCTGAAATACGTAGATTCCGTCAGAAAATGAATGTTCAGCGAGGATCAAAAGTGGAAATGACAAGTGACCGATTTAGGTTATTATGAATTTTGTTAAATTTTAAAACCTGGGAAAAGAATAACCTACTTCTCAATTGGCATAACAATGAAATGTATTAGTTATAGTTGAAATGGATTTGCTTCAGTTATAGTTAAAGTGGATTGCTTTCAGGTATTATCCAGAAACAGATTGCTCGAAAGATAATAGCTTTGCAATTGCAGCTATTAACGATAGTCCAATCTTTTGTTTGCAGTTTACGGAAATGATGGATGTATGGGTAGTTTTGGTTTCCATGTATTTATACTTCGATTGCCAGATATAAATTTGTTGCTGATATTTCTTAGAGATGCTATTGAATTTCATAGAGTTTCAGTTCTGTTATAAGGATAATCACTTATTTTTTTCATGTTCTAGGATGATTTGTTGTACAGGTTGCTGAGTAGATTGCATGCTCGTGCCAATCTTCCGATTGAATTTGCTAACGTGCAACTTTCATATTTTCCTGTGGACAAGTAAGCAATACTGATTTCCTTTTCAATAAATAAAGTTCTTCTCAATTTTCATTATTGTATTAAAATTCTTGTTTTTTTATGAACTAAAGCTAGCTTACAATGTTAAAATGTACCAGAATTTAACAATTTATTGAGATTCCGTCGTTAAAGAGCTTTCCAATTTCAACTAGTTTTATCATATGAAATTTATTTGGCAAGCATTTGTTTCTTTAAACTTATTTAATTGAATGAGTGAGTGACTATATGGATGATTTTGCAGATCTTTAAACAATTTCAGTTATGTACCATTACCAATTCGAATAATTGGTTGTGACTATCGAAAACATGCTGGTGTAGAAAATGATCAATCATATTATCCTGTGGAACCAAAAGTTGATAAGGCTTGGTCCGAAAAACTAAGCTCATATTCTTTTGGATTGCAATATTTGATTGCAGCATTATTGTCACGTGGTGCTGTTGTAAAAGACCAATTGCTGGTATGTACACACTGAATTTACTCGTAAGATTTCACCAATTTTAATTCACATATTTTGGAAGTCAGTTCTGCAGTTAGTATCTTTTACTTACGTCACTGCATCTACATAGTTTATTTTAAATACTTCGTTTCCAAATTAATATCAGATTTGTTTTATCGACTTTAAGGTAATTAAGATTATGGATTCATTTCCGATGGTTGATTGTTTTTTAATGGGCTATATGTCCAATCATAACGGTGATCAGTTTCTGATTTAATTTCTTTACAGATAACTGTTGAGTCAAGAAATCAATTTCTAAAGCATATAATAGAAAGTTACGAACAGAACGATTCTGTAAGACCCTTTTTTTCACGTTTATTTTGGTTAACGTCTGGTTTTGTTTTCATATTAGCAAAAAGATTTTGTTCTTAATTTTATTGGGAATTAAAAAGCATAAGCTGAAGGATGAATCAACTTTTCTATCACTTTATCATTTACGAAGTTTGATTTTTTAATTTCCATGTTTTTGCTGCACTTATTTTCTCCTAAGGCTGAAATTGAGCTCAGCAAAATATTTCCATTTTTGATTGCGAAATGACACGGAATTAATAAAAATCGATTAACTATTTTATTTTCTAATGATTTATTTTATTAAAGATAACACTAGAAGCGTTAGAGCGTTTAATCAATATGGTCGATGAAATGAAAAGCATACCACCACTGATAAGTGTGTTTGATCGTATACGTGATAGCGTTTTTATAAGGAGTGATTTGCTTGCTGTGATTCACGGAAAAAGTGCCGAAGAAGGATTTCAACGTGTTAGAAAGGTTTCGAAATTTTGGTTGATATTCGTATTTTGAAGAAAAGGAAGAGACCAATCAACTAGATAAGTTTGAAGATACTGCTAGTTAAAATTACGTCTATACTCGAATATATATATATATATATTTTTTTTGATATTTAAATCATTATTTTATAAGCTGAACAGTGTGATAATTTATCAGGCTGTAATAACGCCAACTCGAATGTTCCTTGTGGTTCCGGAATTATTAATGGGGAATCGCGTATTACGTGAATTTGATGAAAATAGTGATGGTGCGTTAAGGATTCAGTTTCGTGACGATGATGGTACACATTTGAGGCGTAACACTGCTGGATCATACATCATTGAAACTACAGTTCATAATTGCTTACTGCGTGGAATTTATATATCAAGTAGGATATTTTCATAAGAGTGAAATATATTGTGAACTAATAAGTCAACATTTCCATAGCTTAACAGCTTTTGTGCATAACTTATTTTCTTCGTGAGAGTAGCTCTCCAAATATTGATAAACTCGTTGACAAGTGATGGTTTAGCTGGTTACTGATGATCATTATTATGTTTGGTACGGATGCATGTGCAGAACAATACAGAAAGCATCTTTTTGTATCTAGAAAGTTACTATCATTAATCATCGATATCGCTGTTTAAATCATCCTCTCATGCTATATTCTTTTCTTGGTTGCCTTTTTTATTATCTTTTTTTACCTAATGACGATAGTGATTGGACTTCAGATTGTGTTTAACAGATCTGATAATTTGCTGATAGGCTATCAAGAATTATCATCAGTTTGTTGCTTATGATCATCTTACCTAGACAAATATTTGTGTTTAGCCCACAAGTTTCAATATAATATTCCTATAGTCATGCTAAATTTAATCCGGCTTATTTTATGTTCATTTTTCAGATAATCATTTTGTTTATTTGGCTTCCTCAAATTCCCAAATGCGTGACAATGGATGCTATTTTTTTAATGATGGTAATGATGGTCAAGCGAAAAAGATTCGTGAAAAGCTTGGCAAATTTGATTGTACTAATATTCCAAAATTAATGTCTCGAATGGGGCAGTGTTTCACGCAATCAAAGGTAAAATAGTGCTGGGTGTGTTGTATATTCATTATAATATATGCTGACGTAAGTTAGACTGGCTTTTGATCCCAACCATTTTTGAAATATTTGCAATTTATTTTTCCTTTTTTCTAAGTTCGTTTGTTTCTCTTCAAATAAACGTTATCTAATAATTCTCAATCTACATTTGATATTCTTCCAACTTTTTCTCCTAGATTTTTTACTTCAGGAAAGTGACGTTGTTTTGAAACGCAAAAAATACAATAAAACATACGATGTGATAGGCGGGAAAGATTTTTGTGGTGAGCCGTTTATTTTCTCAGACGGTGTCGGAAAATTATCCGAAGATTTTGCTGAAAAAATCGCCAGAGATTTAGATTTGGGCAAATGTGTCCCCAGCTGTTTCCAAGTAAGGAGGATTTTCTGTTAGTGGCAAATTGAGCAGTATTATAAATTATTAAGTTAAAGCTATGTTTTTAGTTTTATTTATACACATTTATTCCTGCATATTGTGCATCTAACGTTCTTAAATGAGCTTCCACACTTGTTTTAAAAGAAACAAGGATTATTAGAAGAATAGGATTATCAGAATTAGTCATTTGATATTGTAAATTTTATGGGATCCGCTCTTCTAAACTAATTATTATTATTGAGCGAAAACAATTCGCGGTATTAATTTTTAAATTTTTTTTTTGAAACTTAGATACTAAGTGAAAGAAACATGATTTATGTAGCGAAAGTTGAGTCATCGTGAGCCATTTTTTTTTAAAGTTTCTTTTCAATATTTCTGTTAAAAATTTCTAAATTGGCCCGAAATGAAGTACTATATGGTTCTGGTTAAAGTTCAGGCATCGAGGCTTAAAAGGTGTGCTTTCCGTTGATCCGGCATTGCGACAACGTCGATTATGGGCTAAAAAAAACGGCTTAGAGGATAAACATGGAAAAACTGAGAAAGTGAACGATTTAGATATGCTGTTTAGACCGTCTCAGGTATTATTTCTCAGTTTCATATGTTCTGACATAATTAGCATATCTTCTCACAGAAATTTTTAACGCAAATATTTTTTTCTTTTTTCAAGTTCAAAGAACTCTCTACTCAGTTATGTGAAATATGAAATTTACTTTTCTTAGGACAGCTCATTTTTTTCTTTTATCTCTCTTTTAAAAACTCTACTTTGATCAGATAAAAAGTTTTTTACCTTCAGGACAAATTCCATGCACCAAGGAAAAAAATAATAGAGATTGTGAAATATTCCAGTCCAACACCAGTCTGTTTGAATAGACCACTGATCAATATTCTTGACCAAGTTAGTGTTTTCTCATTTCTTCATTATAATTTTCTTAAAACATCTGTAAATTGCATCATTCTCGTTGGTTGCATTAGTATTCATTCCTTCGCACTGGATGCAGTCTATTAAAGCCGTCAGCAACAGCCTTAAATCTTATTTTTTAGAATCATGGTCATTTTAAAATTATAGGTAAGTGATATGCAAGGATTTGATGTACATAGTCGCATGGTCCATCGCATACATGGTTTGCTTGATCGCCAGCTGTTGCAACTTTCTGAAGCGTTGATGAATGAAAACAGGTCATTTATCCTGTAACTGATAAGTTCCTACTGTGCAAGCAGCTTTTTTGAATTTTTTTTTTGATCTTAAACGAATCCTTTGTAGATGCCGTGAAAGACTAGCGGAGTTTCCGAGACGGATTAATGTACAATATTTATCACTAGTAAGAGGATTCACCCTTACACAGGAACCATTTTTTCGTGGCCTACTGATTGCAAGTGTTCGATTCACACTGCGTAAATTTTGCATTGCATTACTCTTCTAACTTTTAAATATACTATGTAGAAATAGCCTAAGCAATTTAATCTGCAAACTATTAAATTTGCAAGAATTTTTGCTGAACGTAGTCATCTTAGATTTGACAATTTGCTTTATTTGAATTAGGCATTTTAATTTGCCGTAGTCTGTAACCATGTTAACATGACTCTGTTCTTGAATTTTTTTTTGGATTTGAAGTTTTCAATCTTTTCGATTAATTTATCTCAAAACATATTTTTTTCACCTCGAATATCGCGACAAGATGCAACAGAATGACAAGTTATTTTAATTTATTAATTTTGCCATATAAGTAGTTTGTGATAATGCTGAAAACCGGAAACTGTCTTATGATTTTT